GAAAATGATACAAGCATGAGTCATGTTCCACTTTTCACTGAGAAGGTATTTAATTTATTCTTTCCTTTTTTTTCCCCTTCAATAAAAGACATGCTATACTTTGATTCCGAATAAGAGTAGGAAGCATATTGAAACTTGTTTAAATGCTAATTGACACCAACCATAAAATTACTAGTTTTCTCTCGAGTCATACCAGATCCAAATTTAAAATTTTAACTTCATTGTAAAACTAATTAAGAAGTAAATGCAGCTGATTAAAAAAAAATTAAGTAAAATGCTAATAATATGATATTAAGGAGACTAAGAGGCCATTAATCAATACAGTTGTCTGAAACTAAGAGGCCATAATCAATTGTTGCGTTTCTTGTCATTGTGTTAATTAATCATAACTAAAACCTATGTTTCTTTTTCTTATCTCCGTCAGAATGACAAGATTTACTCATGTTGTGCAGTTTGTGTTTCCATGCTTGAAGAAGTTGCAACTATCATGGATTAAAATTACAACCATATGGCATACTTCAGCTACATCTTACTGCACTCAAAACCTTACAGAACTTATTATTGAGGGTTGTGATAATTTAGAACACTTATTCTTATCCTCTATGGCTAGAGGTCTGGTGAAGCTTAGACACCTCAAAATAAATCAATGCAAGAATATGAGGGAGATTATTGTGACGGAGAATGTGGAAGAAAAGGAGATTTCTTTCCCCGAGTTGGACTTCTTGCACATAGAAAACCTTCAAAACCTTGTTGGAATCTACTCGGGAAATTGCCTCATGGCATTCCCATCCTTGAAGCAATTGACCATAAAAAAATGTCCAAAATTGAAGGAGTTCACGGTTAAATCTATGAGTACAGAAATAGCCACTGACATAAAGCCTCTTTTCAATGAACAGGTAAGTTCTCTTCATTTCAATGCATTCTGCCTTCTAACTTTGGAAATAATTATTGCCCTTATCCTTTTCCTGTAATGATGAATTTTGTAGTTTGCATTTCATTCCCAGCTTGGAGGCCTGCCTGCCTATCTCCTACTTGAAAAACTTCCAGATCTTATGCCATACCAAACCCTATTCGTTCCTTTTTTGGCAAACTAAGATCATTGAGAAATGGTTCTGTGAGAAGCTATTGACTTTTTTCCTATTTACTACTTTTTGATTTGATACAATATTTTGACAATATTACAAAAGGACAGACAGAGTTGAGTACTGTCACTCCATAGATCTATGCACATATTATATTCATATTGCTGGTTTATTATTAATTCTCACGTTCTTGGTTTAATTAGTTAATTGATAAAACTGAGTTGTCATTGCAGCTGATAGAAAATTAACTTTGTTTACTTTTGATTAGAGAAAAAAATAGTTTTTAATTAAATAGAATCTCTTTGCAGATTAAGTTTACAAGGTTGGAGTTCTTAAGTATGTCTCTTAACATTCAACAAATTTGGCACAACCGGGCTCCAGAAATGCCTTCTTTTGTTCAAAAACTAAAAGAATTGACTGTGGATGGCTGTGATAATTTGAGATATCTATTGACATGCTCTACAGTTAAAAGTTTTGAGCATCTTGAATTACTGACAATTCGAAACTGCAAGATGATGGAAGGGGTAATAGTGGCAGAAGGATTAGCAGAAGAAGAAAGGAGGAGCAAGATGTTGTTCCCTAATTTGCAAGCCCTGGTACTTGAAGGCCTTTCCAAACTCACAAGATTCTGTCCTGAAAATTGCATTGAATTCCCCAACCTTACACGACTTAAAATAGGTGGATGCCCTGTGTTGAAGACATTCACCTCTAGTCCTGTTATTGGAGACATTGCTGTCAGTAGTGACAAAGCAGAAAACACCTATGCGCCACCTTTCTTCAATGAAAAGGTGATTCTTACCATCGTTTTTCCTTTAATTTACACTTATTCGTTTCTTATAATACAGCCTTTCCATTTTAATTCTAAAGTTGTGTTTCTATCGTCTCTACTATGTCTATCCTATCTCTTTTAGACTTTCTAGCTATTAATGCAATCTAATAAAATCTGTAGGTAGCATTCCCTCAAATAGAGGGCCTAATTATCTATTGGATGGAGAGTTTGAACAAAATATGGGCTGATCAACTTGATGGAGATTCCTTTTGCAAACTAAAAGGCATTATTATAGGTCCGTGTGAAATGCTAGTGAGCATTTTCCCATTTAGTATGCTGGAAAGACTTCAGAGACTAGACGATCTGCGTATTCTCGATTGTGATTCACTAGAAGAAATAGTTGAAGCACCCAGTGCTAGCCATTCACAAGCTCTGGTAGACACTCAGCCGACGTTGGTGGAAACTGACACCGAGTTCGTATTTTCGAAATTGACACAACTGAGGCTTGTCAGGCTACCGAAGCTCAAGGGTTTCTGCCATCGAATGCATATTAAATGCCCATCTCTGAAATTATTGGAAGTTTCTGAATGCAAGCAAGTGCAGATATTTGCTTCGGAATTTCCAAACTTCCAAAGAATCAATGGAGATGATCAACTTGAAATTCAAATTCAATGTCCTTCTTTCTCGGTCAGCAAGGTACGGTCTGTAAAAACACTGCATGTTGGGATGCATTATTAGATTTCAAGTTCCAGTAAAGCTTTCTCTTGAAGTCTACCTTTTTCGGTCATTAGACGTTGCACTGGTTTTAAAATGCATTAATAGATTAAAATAATTCTGGAGTATTATTTATTAACTTGAATAAAGTAATCAATTGAAAAACTTAAAATTTCATTTATTTTTGTCTTTGTTATGCTTCCTTCACAATAATTTATGTTCTGTTTAATATAATTTTGATTCTTAATTTTATTTTTTATAAATTTTGTAATTTTTAAAAATCAAAATTAAAATTAAAAAATTAACCATTAACA